AACTATGAACATTAATTTAGTAGATGATGTACTTCGTCGTTTTAAAAAATTACAATTCGTCGAATTCGCGAAAAAAATAATGAAGAGCACTTTTTAGAAAGTTTGTAACTGAGCCTGTAATGAAAATTTAAAATGTACGTTTTGTAAATATACATAAGTTATATAACTGCTGAACATGTCATCAAGAACGATTAACGCATTTAGAAGTTGCAAGCAATTAAAATTAGTGAAAATCGTGATTCTTCACCTAAGAACGTAACTAATCATGAGTTTAGGTTAAAATCCACAATTTTTTTTATGACGTACACAAAATGTTATAAGATTTGACATCTTATTGCAAAATACAATATTACGTATATTATTTTTTCTCAGTTATGTTTTCGGCCGTTTTATTTAAAATGCAATCAACTGAATGAAAATGTATAAAACAATGTTCTTTTTGGCTTAAAAAGAAATTGTATTGAAATATCAATTTTCGAATTTTTGCGGGCTAATACTGTATTACAAAATAACGTTGTAACAACGGTAAAAAAGAAACTTCGCGAAAGCGACGTAGTCTGGAAACGTCCAGACGATTTCGAGAAAACCGACGATAGAGTATCGCGGGAGACAGTGACGCGAGGCGCGAGCGGAGACGCGGAACGCGAGCGCGGAAAACGCCAAATTCATTCCTGACGACGAGATCGTTGATTTCGGCGACCGCGGATAGCAACGAGCGGATATAAAATAAGGGCTCGCGACGGCCTCGGTCTACTTCGCCTGCTGTTAACAGAGAGAAAGGACGAGGTAAGACCATCGGCCGCTCTTGGTCAGCAGGTTAGGGACTCCGGCAGGAGAGTACGGCGATAATACCTGGACGCTTGCCGGAGAAGAGAGAGAGAGAGATCCCGGCAGGAGAGTTCGGCGACAATTCCTGGACGCCTACCGGAAGAAGGGAGAGTACGGGAGACCTGTTCCTGGACGCTCGACCGACACGGAGAGTACGGCGATAATACCTGGACGCCTGTCGGTCGAGAGAGTACAGAGCATCTCCTGGACGCCCTAGTAGAGTTAGTTTTCTAGACGCCCGTTCGATATGGAGAGTTCGGCGATAATACCTGGACGCCTATCGAACGGGAAAAGTATAAGCATGGCGCTCTTTGTAAAATGTTTTGTACGAATAAATAAAAAGAAAAACTGTATCCTACGCCTTGTAACCGCTCCTAAAATAAATCCTATCTTTCCAACAGATTTCCTTGCATTTTCAATTAACGATGGCTACAACGTCCAATTAGTCAATTTTAACTAGAAATTTTTCAAGCTCTCATTTAGATGAACAGAAAAGAAAGAAGTGTATGATCTTTTTAGATTATGATGGTGTAAGGGCGGCACTAGTATGTGAAATTCAAATCACTCATCTGGCAATATAAGGAGAGTCTATTGTAGAACGTTCAAAAAATAGACATCCAACACTTAATCGATCACTTTTATTTCAGAATCAAAGTCTTAGTTCTCAAAATAATAAGCGTCTTCATAGTTCTATTTACCTTACACCTTTTTAAAGCGCTCTGCATAATATTCGTGTTAAGAATAAGTAGGAGGATAAGAATAGGACAAATGCAAAATAATCTCTAAAGAAGTGCTAGTGCATCTTTGTCTCTGCTTGCAAGGCAACGAGATAAGAGATGAAAGATAATGGATGACTTGGTGAGAAAGGCGATGTAAAAATAAAGGGACTGGGTGTTTCTCGTTTGCTTTTAGATTCACCAACGTATGTACTCTGTGACTATCGATCGGTACGAGTGCTTCAGTTTAAATGTCTTTGGTGCAACACGATCAATATTTATGCTGAATACGAATTAACCTTTCGGCTCTGCGAAGATCGTCCTTAAATTTTCAAGCGGTTTCAAGGACGAGCATAGTATTCCCGAAAGCAACGTGCACGAAATATTAACAAACAGAAAAGCTTTCTTTCTTCGAACTTGTATCCTGTTCCGTATATTTTCTCTCGCAAATGGTTTTTTGTTACGACTACTCGAACACTCGTCGATGTCGTTCGAAATTCTTTCAGTTCTATGATTTGACAAAGGTAGTCGTGTTTTTTAGAAATAAAATACATAACAACCGGTGCAGTGAATATCAGAGAAACATCTGAACAGGAAGGTTACTGTTCTAAATAATATTTTGACAATATTGTCTTCCTTGGTTAAAATTCCATACGTACAAGGTGTCTCAGGTTGGGTAGTACAACCGGGCAGAGGGTGATTCTATAAGGAAAAATAATCCTAAAAAAACAATAAATGTTTTCTGTCTGAGCTTTTGTTTTCGAAAAAAACTTATTTTTCTTTATATAAGGTAGGGGATGTAACCCTTTAGCTTCAAAATTATCCACATAATATCGTCCCTTTATGACAAATAATAGAATTCCAATTTGTTTTCGAGATATGTAGTAAAAACGATTCTTCGGGGTAAACCTTGGGGGTGGTTTTCAACCCTTAAATGAACGAATTAGCACGTATGAAAAGATACATATTTAACATTTTTTGATGTAGTTATTATAACTAAACTGTTGTGGTACATCCCGAGTACTTTTCTTGTGAGTGCAGATGTACTCGACGAATATTCGAACTGAATTTTCTCGAAAACACAGGCTCAAAAAATTTATTGATTTTGCAGCTTATTTTTGCTTACAGAATCACCTCCTGTCCGGTTGTACTACCCGTTCAGAGACACCCTGTGTACCATTTTTCATTTTTCTAGATATTTTGAAATATAGTGGAACCTCAATAGCTCGAAAATTTTCTTCGTTAATTTCTGTTCCACTGTAAAATCTTCTACAGCTTAAACTCCAACTTTTATTGATTGGAATTTTTTTACTTGGACGTTTCGAAGTCAAGAGAACTCTGACCTCTATAAATCGAAGTTTACTTAACTTATAATCAGGAATTTATACCGAAACGGAAAATACTGGTATAATATCGATATTTTTCGGTTCCATCTTCATAACCCTTATATGTAGAAATCGAAATACCGAAATACTGAAATATTGGAATGACGTCATATCGCTACATGAAAATAGCGGTATATTTACCATCATTTACATTTTTTTGAAATAGAAGCTTAAAACTTAAAACCAGTGGATTCTGTAAGCATTGTTATCGTGTTAATTACGTTAGTAAAGTCATACTGAAACCGATATTATACATACATATGTATGTACATATGGAATACCCAGTTAAGAATAATAATCAGCATTCCTCCTGTTTTCATTCACTCCTTGTTTAATTAGAGGTAATTTATACAATGCTTACAAATTGCGAGCAAAAACAAGTTTCACATTGCTATCATTATTGCTGCCACGACTATGCTAATGGTTCAATGTTTCAAACGTCTCGAACTACATAAGGTCGTTATGACAAAAATGAAGTAGGGATAAAATATTTAAAAATGACAATCAATCTTCGAAATTGGTAACGTGAATTGGTAACGTTTGCTTTTATGCAAATGGCCCAAATTAGTATGCTGTACTATTCGTGTCAACATGCCACGAATTTTCTTCAGTCAAGAATATACCGACATGCATTTCATTTACGGCTTCATAAACGGAAGTGCTGCAGCTGTTGTAACAGAAGAATTCCCTGTTATAACAATGGACGACACATTGAAATGAAAGAAACGTAAATAAATGTCGCCAGTTACTATTTCGAGCTTTTGTTACAGTTTTTTAATAAAGCATTTGTAAGCCTATATTTATATGAGATTTTTTTTATAGTAGGGACACTCCGTATAATGCATGAGTTGTATATTTGGCTATAGGTATACAATAAACAATTGACCTTTATAACTTCAATTTGTCTTTCTTTACATCTTCACAAGTCGAAACTGTCACACAAAATTTCTATAAATCAAACTTTTGTGTTTTGAACTTCTTTTATTTAAAAACTTTATTTTTCCCTTCCATTGAGGTTCGAATTATTGAGGTTCCTCTGTATTTAAATTTTGATATATGCTTCTCCTGTAATATTATTTATGTGTAAATCACTATTTTTCTTCACAATTAAAAGTTATTTAATTTTATTTAGAATAACTTGGAATTTTTAAATCAAGTTTATCGATCAAGGACAGGGCCGGTTCTACGAATTTTACTATCCTGTGCAATAGTATAAGTACTTTATCGCCTTCCCCCTTCAAAAGAAAACTCTTAAAATGACGTTTTAATAAATTCTAAATAGTAGTATTGGTTAATAAAAATTTATAAGTTAATAAAAAATAATCATAAATTGTTTATTTTGCAGAAATGAGATAGTTAGAAAAAAAGAAAGATAATAATTGTGATACAGTAATCCCCCAAGTATTTGAAAAAACATCCTTTAAAATCCTTGAAAGTACCTCTAAGAAACCCCTAAGTATCACTAAGTTAAAAAATCATTTTGATTTATTTTATTACTTTTCTAATGATTTACGATACATCTATACCTCGCTCTACGGCCGCTCTTTATACAGCATTTCGCTATAACTACCTTTTTTAATTACTTTTATTTTTATGTAAGCATTTTTATAGGAAATAAAAGGAATAAAATGCTTTACGAACTAAAAACTATATTATTTCATAAAAAATTAAAACAGATCCAATTGGATTTGTATGGGTTTGTATCAAAATAATTGATTCGTTATATGGCTTTTCGCTTTACGGTCAACTTTTCCGGAACGTATCTAGGCCGTAAAGCGAGATATGGGTGTATTTGAATTTCGTATAGTCTGGATTAATTTTACCGCCCCCTGTAAACGTACATGTTGCGCCGTTAATTGAACGTTGGTGGCCCTTGAAGGTTTAATAGCTCTGGACTCCAGAAATCTTAATCCACTCCTGACTTAATAGTTCTCTGGGGGTGGAATCTTTTTATACATAATTACCAATTGCACGACAGGCAGCGTAATTAATGGCTATACATTAGCGTCGCTCGGTTTACATAAGACATTCACCCTTGTTGCACTCGTTCAAACGCATAAAATGCACCTACCTTCCATTGAAAGTCGGAAGAGGGATCGGTGAAGAACCACTTCTGCGGCCACGGCTTTATCGTTCCCTCCGGCGTCTTGAAGATTAACCCCTCGAGACTTAGGCCATGCGCCAGGACGCTAGTCGTAATGTTTCCTTTCTTGTACGAAGCTATCCCCGCCTTCATGTACATTTGTGGTATTGTTTCATTCTCTCGAAGCTTCAAGGTTATCCTCGGCATTTGCGCCTTTCTCACCGAGCTCGCTGACGTTTTGGTTACTTCGTTTGGTGTACTGATTACCGTTTTGAACGTCGTCGAAAACGTTGGAGGTAAAGTTGATGGAACGGAGGTGGATGTATGTCGGACACTTGTTGTTGGTTCCGAGGAGGTGTGCAAATGCTGCGTGTTGTTTGACACGAAGTCTGTAAATATAATAAACAAAAAACTACTGTAATTTTAATACGACAATTATAACAAATACTTAATAATAAATTAGACTAATTGATGTAGTTTTTACTAAAAATTAAGAATTATTAAGAGTGATACTAGCATCTATAGTGGAGTCAGGGCCGGTGTTGGGGGGGGGGCAATCGTCCGGGGCGCTAGATCTGTAGGGGGCGCCGCAGCCCGGTGTCCCTAGTTTATTCATCTACATTCTACATACATACATATATCTATCCATTTAGATCAGTAAAGCTGCTATGTAGTTTAACAATTTTTACAACCTAACTACAGGGTGAACTTTACTTTACCGGACCCAAAATTTTGGACTTTTTTTTTTTTGAATCTAGTTTTTGATGCGGAGAATCCAAAAATGCAAGTCTCAACTTTAGGAATTCAGTGGTTAAAAAGTTATAAGCGTGTAAAGTTTGACATTTTTAGCGGATTTGTTACGTTACTGTGACGTCATACTGACTTCTTGTCCAATGAACGATGTCGCTAGCTGTAGGCAGATTCACATGGGTGCCGACTACTTTGGCGGGTAAATTTGATACTGTCTGAGTTAGTTATGTGTATATTTTTTTAAAGAGAGAGAGAGAATTTAATTTTATGAATAATTTAAATACAGCTAGTGATGGGACTCATACCCAGCAAATAGAGTCAAATTGGCGGCCGGCGAAGGACTGGATGAGGGGGAGGGGTCGTTTTCACGATGAGGAATTTGCCGATCGCTTATGCGAATATCTGTGGCGACGGTTTTGCCGTCACAACACCATAGACCTCATGGGATCAATGATGGAAGCGATTCGGAAACAATATGTTTTTAATTAAGGTAAGCGGAAGTTTAGTTCTACGCTATGCGAAGACCAATCAGGTTATACATCTAAGGCAATATGGCGTCACAGTAACGTAGCAAATCCGCTAAAAATGTCAAACTTTACACGCTTATAACTTTTTAACCACTGAATTCCTAAAGTTGAGACTTGCATTTTCAGATTCTACGCATTAAAAACTATAGATTCAAAAAAAAAGTCCAAAATTTTGGGTCCGGTAAAGTAAAGTTTACCCTAACTACAGATTCATCGTTTCATATTATTACCTTGACTTTTTTCTTAAAAATTTGGAACCCCTGAATGGGCGTGAAAATAATCTTGCTCAGGGCGCCAATATTGCTAAAACTGGCCCTGAGTGGAGTAGCAATGAAACACGAAAAAATAATTCATGCTTTTTTAAAAACAATTTTCAGAGAAACGTGTAATGATTATGATGTTCATATTCAACAAGAATATACCGAAGGTGCTATAAAACGTTTTTTGGGAAAAACTGTACAAAATTTCTTCTGCAGAAACGTATTTTTATCAGGTTTTAAAAACCAAATTGCAAAATCGGGCTCTGTACGTTGCTGTATAATCATACGAAGAATATTTTTAAAAAATAGTCATGAGAAAATATTGCTTCTTCGCTTCAAAATCTTTGAATTACGAAATCGCTAAATCACTATCCTTGTCTTTTTATGCAGGAGAGACAAGGATCGTTGTGAGTTTCGTAGTTTCCCGGTAGAAGGCACTAAAGTTCGATTCAGACTGGACCATCACTTCTGTTGACCTTTAAATTAGATGTCTATTGAAGACATATTTGGAATAATCGACACATGAATTAAGCGAAACGTAGACATCAGGATTTCATTTTGATCAGCTAGGATTTGTCAAAGAGAATAGGGCAACTTTTACTTTACAACGCATTATATAATAATTAAATTTACTATAATGTTTCAGTGTTTATTGTTTATAGCCAAAAATTATGTATAGTCGAGTGCAACGTAGACATTCTTAGGTCTACAGGGTATTTCAGGGGTGCCGAGCCGTTCGTTCGCAACCTACATCAAGCCCCGCTTTCGTAGCTGACGCTGCCGTCCCTGAGCCCGCGCGCCATACGCGCTCGGATTGGTCAGTGTTTTTGCTTAATAATTCAAAAAGGAAGCTTCAAACCACTTTTTTGCAAAGGAAAAAGTTGTTCAGAATCACCCCACCTATCACCATCTCAGAGGGTGAAAATGCGTTACGGAACACCCTGTATATAGATTTCAATGCACAGGGTGAAGAGAAGGTCGCGAAACGATTGGGAAAATTCGTAATTCCTTTAAATTTTATTTTTTCCTTTTTTTGCTTCGCAGAAATTCTAAAATATACCTGAGATACCTAGATTATGGAAACCTACAGCGTTATTCAGCGTACCAAAATTCTTGAATTTTATTTTAAAAATCATCGCTTGGTGGTACTAATTTAAAAAGTTTATCGTCGTCATTTTAATGTACGAAATCTTTTTAAACCCTTAACTTCTAAATCGATGACTCAATGTTTATTGCGATGTTGTCAAACGCAAGATAGGGTATGTCACCTTCCACATTTCAGAATTTAAAGGGTGGATTTCGCACATTAAAATGATAACAAGAGTTTTGAGTCATTATCACTGACAAATAATTTTCAAAAGAAAACGCAACAATTTTGATATATTGAATCACGCTGTGCGTTTCCATAATAAGTGTCCTGGGTATATACATTAAAATTTCTGCGAAGGAAAAAAAGGAATTTTCCCGATCGCTGCGCAATTTTTGCCCCTCCATGTAACACAAGGTGAATGTGTAAAAATTTCTGTTCGGAACGTAACAATATAATACTTTTATATGTTTATCTCACTGATATCTTTCTAACATTTTATATATTTTTGTAGCTAATAAGTAAAAACACTTGAAGTATTATAATATTAACAGTATAACGTTTTATTAAATAATTGATTTTTTATATGATTAATTAATTTTCAATACTATTATTAGTTTCTGTCGTATAATTTTCGATATGTTATCAGTTTACAAGTAAAATATCTTAAAGCGATATAACACTGAGGAAAGTATCGAGGATGTCGATGTTTATTGATTACTGTGACGAGTTTCGAGCACACCGATACCAGAAATATAGAGGTGAAAATATGACAGTGATCCATGGAAGAAATTGGATCAATCAAGTACTTCGGAATTAAATTCTCCCAACCTCACCTTTATTACGTGGTGAAAAGCTGTTTTCCTATAACCAGTTTTATGTTCTAATGTTGCTGATAATACGCAATTAACGTTCGCGGTAAATTAATTGCAAAAAATAAAAATCGTGTTATATCATTAATTCCTTGAATTTAAAGTGCATTATCTGAAGTATAAAATCTAAACTATATTATTTTCAAAATTTGACTTTTTATTATAAATAAAAATAAAGAGACCATTGCTTGTGAAAGTGGTGTAAGTCTATTTCTAAAAAACGTGTAAAAATTGTAAACCGGGGCTGTAGTAACACTTTAACTTTGGAACACAATTATGCAAAAACTATTGCATTCACAACAAAACTCCTTATACCAAAATCTTACATAGTTATCTGGCATTATTGAATTATAGCAATTTTGCTGTATGACAATATCCAAGTTATTAATAAAAATGGAGACTGGAAAAAAAAATGTTACAATCGTCCCTCACCCCGAATCGATTGTAATACTGCATGAAATCGACAGTAATTCAGATTTAACTTTACAAAACTAAAATATTTAGTGATTTAAATTATAGTAATAAACAAAATAAAGTAAAATTTATAACCAATTAGTCGATATCGTAATTATAGTAAATATAAGAAATGTTTTGGCTTGATGGGTCCAATCCTTACCTTCAGTACAGTGGTCCAGAACTTAGCTGTACTTGGGTCAATGGGTGACCCTAAGTTACAAAACATATACTAATTGTAAGATATTATAATTTTTAAACAATAGAGTTTCATATATTGAAAGAATAATATTTAAAGGAACAGTGTAAAATTTAGAGAATGGAAATAATATGAAACTCAAAATTAAATTAAAATTGGGACTCTCTCTACGGTCCGCCGTCCAAGAGTTAACTGTGTTAAATGTTTAACTTGGATTTCGCAAAGTTTTACGAGAGAATCTTGGAATCATAGAATTTTTTAATTTTGGAAGTTTCGAATCTGTCGAAACCGAAGAGTTTCATATACTAAAGGCAGAATTTTTAAAGGAATTGTGCAAAATTTAGCAAATGAAAATAATATGAAATAGAAAATTAAATTAAAATTGAGACTATAGGGTTTGTCGTCCGAGGATTAACAGTGTCAAATGTTTATTTTCTATTTCGCAAAGTTTCACCAGAGAATCGTAGAATCTTAGAATTTTGGGATTTTGAAATTTTTAAATTCTTGAAATTTAGAATCTTTGAGTTTAACAATGACGAAAGACTCAGTCCATATTGAGGGGTCATCATGGCTTCTACCTAAGTTATACACTAGTTTCACCAATGCACTCAGTTAGTTACATTAATCGATGCAATTTTTTCTTTTACAGAAAAGGTATTAAAATACTTATACCTTGAAACTACATATTAGTTTAAAAATTGTTTCAGTTTTAATATCTTATATACATATATAGGGTGAGTCGCCTAAGGCAAGCCAGCTGAATAACTTACTTCGTCGATTTAAAAAATGCTGTGATGCAAATGATCGTTATGTTCAACCATACTTGTAAATAAACGCTAATATCAGTACAAATTTTAGAATTATTTAAATTGAAATATCTCCTAAACTACCAGCTTTTCAACATACATAGGTCAGTACTTTTTTATAAAGAATGTCTAGCTGCATCGTTTGATGCATAAAAAAGTACCCCATTCCATTTAAAAAAACTAAGTTGACCTTCAAATCTCCTAACCGCCTCCATCTGAAGAAAAGTTATATACACCACTTAATGAGCTCATCGAAACCAAACAACTTTTGTCTGAAACATTTGTTTCTATCTCCAAAAATGTAGTTATTCAGGTGGCTTACCTTAGGCGACTCACTCTGTATATATTTTTAGTAACGTCACTTTTACAGAAGAATTGGAATAAAATTAAGAACAGCTTATCATGGATACTAGTTTTATAAAAAAGTAGGGGATT